CTAAACTTTACACATCATATAGGCTACACTAATGTGATGTTTAGGTGGTTTGTTTAACTATTATACGTGATGTTTATTTTGGGGGGGGGGTAACGAAAGTGTTCCAAAACGTGACATTAATTTCTTGACAACCTAATACTTTAAGCAGCTCAAAGATAAGTCTGAAGACTTGTAACACTAAGTAACTGGGTTTTGGTACCTATGGTGGGCACAGCCAATTATCTAGCTTTGTGCTTAACAACAAACAAACAAAAGAAAAGCATCTCAGCCAATGATGTTGGTAATCAACATAAAATTGCTGGCACCCTGGCTGCTTTCTGTAACAGATTGTGAACCATAATGCCATTCCCACTTGTAAACAACTCTTGAGGGAGGAGTTTGTCTTCGAGCAAAACAATTATCCTAAACATACAGTGAATGTGGTGAAATAATATTTTAACAGTAAAGTGTCCAGTGGTATGCTCACAACAAAGGGTTGTCTTGCACAAAGTTCCAGTATGAACATTCTTGAGGCTGTATGGCTTATGTGAAAACTGAGAAGATTAGAAGGCAACCAAACTATTTGACTGAATTATTGGAAGTAAAGCAGGAAATTTGGAACAATATTCTGTAGTAATTATACACTGTTAACTGTATGATAGCATGTAAACAAGGGATAATGTTCTGTATTAAGCAAAAGGCTCACATACAAAATACTAGAATATATTTACTTTTCTTTTGTATTTTGTGTGCTAATGTTTTATATCATAAATAAATTCACCATCTAGTTGTCACTACACATTACTTGTTAAGTAAAAACATTATAGTAATATAGTAGTAATTTGACAAACAACCGTTTATAAGCATAATGATTCATATATATACATGCTTATAAATTATTGTTGGTCCATTATCAACTTTTGTATGTGTATCACTTGTATGTTTTTATAATTAATTCTATTACTGTGTGTAATAAACTAACCATTAGATTATAATGTCTTGATATAGAGATAATTATTTATCTTATTCATTGCAAAATTACTGCTCTTAGTAAACAATGAAAAAAAAATTGAACAAGTAAAATAGTTGATCATTTATCAGTAACTGGAAGCTTTGTATACAGACCTGTAACTTTTACTGATATTGTTTGAGAAA